GGCTGCCACGGCGCATGGTATGGCGAGCCGTGCTCGGTCACAACTCGTCACAACTCGTCTGAAACCTTTGTTCAAACTTTGCTTCAGTGAGAGATAGGGCACTTGCGAGCGTCATGCCTTCCAGCTTTGGACCGGTGGACAGGACCCTGAGTCGTTGGGCCAAGCGTTGGTAACTAAAGGAGAGAATGCGAGGGTATTGGCCAATGAGGGCAGCAACTTCTGAACTTGAAAGGGCAGATGCCAGCAGCGCTTGCTTCGGCTTCAAGTTCTCTTCGATTCTCAAGCCCAAGATCAGAGGGAAATTGGCGACTACATTGACAACTTCTTCTTTGCTTAGCCCAATATCCAAAAGCCACTGCCTTGCGGGTTTCAAGTTCCTCTCGACACCAAAACCCAAGGCCCATGGATGGGATGCAATCACTTTGGTCAATAGGTCCGTGCTAAGTCCAATGTCTAAGAGCCACTGCACAGTTGGCTTCAAGTTCTCCTGAACGCTTATGGCAAGAACTTGAGGAAACGATGTAACAACCTTCACAACTTGAGCTGGGGTCAGCCCCATGTCCCTGAGCCACTGAACGGTCGGCCTTAAGTTCTTGATACTGCTGCCGAGGAGACGAGGGAACCTGAAGATTGCATGGGCAACTTGAGCGTGGCTCAGCCCAATGTCAAAAAGCCGTTGAATGGCTGGTTGCAGGGTCCGCTGAATGGATTTCCCACTCAAGGACGAGCGTGCCTCCATCAGTTTGATCTCTTCCTGGTTGAAGCCTTGAGCTTCCAAAAACCATGTAATCTCCTCTGTGGTGTTGCCACGACTTGAAGCTGTTTCCCTTTGAACGAATTTCTCTGCCTTTGCTGACAACCTCACGGAGCTTCTGTTGGCTTGACGACCTAAGCGCTTTGCCGCTTTCGGAGAAAGAACTTGCCCTAGTGCTCGAAATGTCTGCGTCAGCGTGTCTTCAAGCGCGGATTGCAGGGATGACGTGTTTCGCGGCTGCCAGGGACACACCCTGATTTCAAGAACTTGATCCTTCAGTGGACTGCTGTGCCTGTGGTTGATGCGCAGGACACATGACCCTGGAGGCCCATATTCCAACAATGCTTGGTTCTTCTGGTCTTTGGTCTTGCTTTCCCTTTTCGCATGATCCACGTCCCCGTCATATTCCACAAACAAGGCCGCATCCGGATCCTTTAGCACTCCAAAAGCCACCAAGTCTGGCTCCAAATAATTTCCACTCCACCCTTCTGGTGATGGAAAGCTGCGGACCAGTTCCTCAATTGGCGTTTTTGGCATCAGAACCACTGCCAGCTGCGATAACAACTCCGCTGCCGCCACACTGTCAACCCGTTGCCGCGGCCATCCACGTTGCCACCACGCTGGTGGAACAGAGGTTGGCCGCCACTGCAACACCGCACCCAGCAGAATGAAGACCACTAATGACCATCTCCGACGGGTCTGTGGCAGGGTCAGCATGAAGGGCGTGGACTAAGAATCCTTTCTGTGTGCTTTTGGTTGGACGTTTTGCCGCAAGAGCTCAAACCAAACCCGTCACAACAGGCTCATTTCTGACAGGCTGACAGGCTGACACAACTGGCTCATTCCTGACAGGGTGGGAATGTGTATTCATTTGTGTTCCGAAGCACGCTGACATGGAGCCAACACACACCTGCTGCTTGCTTGCCCGGCATTTCTTATAGATGATAGAATGTAGGAATATTGATTAATAATCCGTCAGACATGGATTGCAAACCTCTTCGTTTCAGGGGGACTACTAATCAAGATCCTACCTTCCGAAACCTTACGTAACTAAACACTGTGGTACTTGCTTATGCAAGTAGACACAAAATTGTAAGTAAACAAGCTTGCTACGAACACCCTGGACCCTGACTCTCTGCTGCGTGCTGGAAAAACCGAATGATTTGTTCGTACCAAAACAGCTGGGAGCCGTTGATAGCACCAAGAACCGCCATACACAAAATCTGAGCCTTGAACCTCTCAAAACGTTTCAAAACCTCTTCGCAAATCCACCCGGAAGTGAAACCCCAAAGCTCTGTATGACCCTTCTGGCACCGAATCCTTGGAACAAGAAGGTGAACTGAACTGGAACCACCTGTTCTTGTTGCACCATGAGACTGACTGATGTCGTGGGGACTCAAAGAGCCAAAAAGGCTGACACATGCTGACACCAATCGCCCCAAAACAATCCCAGAATTGGTTTAAGGGATTTTCTCGGCCGGAAACCATAATTTTTCACTGTTTTCACACTCAAAACTATGGCTTTCCCGTAGGTTTCCCTTGAACCAATTCTGGAAAACTGTTTTTGCAGCTTATCCGCGGCGTGGGGAACGCTCTTCCCCCAACAACGTCATCGGTCGGACCCTTGGTGCTATGGATGGAGGTATGCTTCGGGCATATCACCAGGCCCCAATGGGGGCCTTTCCATCTCAGGCCTTTCGATCTCTCCCTAGGGATCCACATACCGAACCTCAGGAGGTACGACTGGGCCCGACCCTGGCGCCTACATAAATAGTCTCCCTGCTCACCGTACCTGAGAAGGTACTTGGATCCCTAGGGTCTATACAATAGTTTACCAAGTGTTACAGGTAACGGGACAGACCCAACGCTTTTGTGCTTGAGTCTAGTGTTCAGGTAATTCGGAGTTGGTCCCTAGATCCTCGAATCAATCCTGTAGTTTTGGCTCCCTTTAATCAAGGAGTCTTCAACAAGTCGAGCGATATGCAGCATGATGCAGCTGGTTTGGGTTTCCAAACCTTTGCTCTGGAGCTGCTTCTGCACAAATGTTGGAAAACATCCCTGTGTCTACTACTCAAGTTGAGCATGTCCAGCCGAAAACGCCGAAGGGCCTAGAACGGCCGATTTTCAGGGAAGCAGCATCTGTTACTTGCTCAGAAAACGCTTCTGAAAGTCACATTCTGTGAGAAACATGGCGTGTGATAGCTGATTGGTCTCCAAATCTCTTCCTGAAAGGACCCTGAAGCGCTCCGACAAGCGTTGGTAGCTGAAAGAAAGAACGCGCGGATATTTGCCGATGAGTGCTACTGCACCTGATCTGCCGAATGCTCTTTCTAGCAAGGCTTGCTTTGGCTTCAAGTTCTCTTCGATTCTCAAGCCCAAAAGAATGGGAAAGCTGGCCACTACATTGACAACTTGTTCTTTGCTTAGCCCAATATCCAGAAGCCACTGCCTTGCGGGTTCCACGTTCTTCTCGACACCAAAGCCCAGGGTCCATGAATGTGTCGTCACGACTCTTGCTACTTGATCCCTGTTCAGTCCGATATCCAAAAGCCAATGGACAGTCGGCTTTAAGTTCTGCTCAATGCTGCAGGCAAGAATGGAAGGAAATTGTGCTACAACTTTGGCAACTTGATCCTCGTTGAGGCCAATGTTCAAAAGCCACTGAACTGTCGGCTTCAAGTTCTGCTCGATGCTGCAACCAAGTATGCGAGGGGATGTTGCTATCACTTTGACAACCTGAGCCTTTTGGAGCCCTATGCCAGCGAAAAACTGAACTGTCGGCTTCAAATTGTGCTCTATGCTCAAGCCAAGAATTTGTGGAAAAGTTCTAAGTGCCTTTGAAGCAAAATCCTTGCTGAGCCCAATCTCCAAGAGCCATTCAAACTTTGGGTTCAAGGTCTCCTCGATACTGTAGTCAAGAATGCAGGGAAACCTGATGATTGCTTTCGCAGCTTGAACCTTGCTGAGCCCAATGTCACAAAACCAGTCAATCTTTGGTTGCAACGACCGTTCAATGGATTTTCCACTCAAGGCGGCACGCCCACGGATGAGCATTCTATCATTCTGGGTAAACCCTTGAGCTTCCAAAAATTGTGCAATCTCCTCTGTGGTGTTGCCACGACTTGAAGCTGTTTCCCTTTGAACGAATTTATCTGCCTTTGCTGAGAACCTCACGGAGCTTCTGTTGGCTTGACGACCTAAGCGCTTTGCGGCTTTCGGAGAAAGAACTTGCCCTAGTGCTCGAAATGTCTGCGTCAGCGTGTCTTCAAGCGCGGATTGCAGGGATGACGTGTTTCGCGGCTGCCAGGGACACACCCTGATTTCAAGAACTTGATCCTTCAGTGGACTGCTGTGCCTGTGGTTGATGCGCAGGACACATGACCCTGGAGGCCCATATTCCAACAATGCTTGGTTCTTCTGGTCTTTGGTCTTGCTTTCCCTTTTCGCACGATCCACGTCCCTGTCATATTCCACAAACAAGGCCGCATCCGGATCCTTTAGCACTCCAAAAGCCACCAAGTCTGGCTCCAAATAGTTTCCACTCCACCCTTCTGGTGATGGAAAGCTGCGGAACAGTTCTTTAATCGATACTTTCGGCATCAGAACCACTGCCAGCTGCGATAACAACTCCGCTGCCGCCACACTGTCAACCCGTTGCCGCGGCCATCCACGTTGCCACCACGCTGGTGGAACAGAGGTTGGCCGCCACTGGAGCACCGCACCCAGCAGAATGAGAACAATCCGGGACCACTTTCGGTTCGACCAACTCCGGCGCGGCGGCACCATGGGTAGCCGTGAGTGTGTGCGACAGGGCTGGAGAAAGTAAAACACAAAGGAAGACACTGTCACTTCTGTGGTCTGTTGAAAGTGATCTGCAATCAAATTTGCTTGGCATTTGGACTCATTTGGATGTTGCACCAACAGAAGTCGAAAGAAGAAGAAAAGAACATCGTCCTGAGCTTCATGGAGTCCTAGGTGAACCTTCCGCATGCCAACAGGTCGAACCCTGGGAAGGGTGTTTTCACCTCTTCGCGTTGAGGCTGGTGGCTTCGCGTGGGGTGTTGTCTCACTTCTCCACCAACCAAGAAAGAGAGGCTGAAGGGCAGGTGATTCATGTACAACCTGGAAATTCATGTACTTCATGTACAATGTACAATGTACTTCATTCAATGGGTATAGGTTGTAGATTGCATCGTCCTTCTGATGTTTGAAGATGAATTCTGCCGTGCGGGCACATGAATCATCTTGAATCCATTGAGGTACTGGATCGGTGCAGTGGATTCAGCCAATAGCATCTACGACCAGCCAAGTCGAAGCAATTCCACCAAGTCTACTACCTCAGAACGTTGGTTTCAATCATCCACTCTTCATCTACTATATCCCACCTCATGTCCCTGCCAAACAAATGGACCAACATCCATCATCCACCTGGTGAAAGACCATCCCCACAATAGGGCTTATGCCCCAACCATGCTGAACCGACCAAGTCTCCCTCCCGTTCGCTGCCGCGAACCGATCTGTTCGATGAGGCGAGGTTCATCCGAGTCGATGCCCAGCGGATGATGATGTTCGCAGACTCGAAGACCAACGTCTGAAACAAAAACAAGTGATCATCATCTTTGACGCGACTCACCCAACATCTCCCCTGCGGACCTGCCTCGACAGCTTCGGCCCTGTGCCCGAGGCCAAACGTGCCAAGGGGCCACTGCATGCAGTTGAGTGGGCGTGCGGATGGGGTAGCCAACTGCAGGCTTCATTGGAGTTCCAGAACCACTGACTCTGTGGTTGTTGGCGTTCTGAACAGGGTGGTGGTGGGAATGGTGGTGGTGGTTTCGGGGTGGTGATGGTGGTGGTTTGGGGGTGGTGAGCTAGGTGGTGCACATTGCTTCTGAACATCAGTTACCAATGTCCCCATCCCAACAACCGCTATGTAATATGTAGGTCACAGGTGCACGCACTTCCACGAGACAGATTTGGTACTCAAAATACAGCAAAAGAGTCCGCACATGCCCAATGTGCACCTGGACCATCCTGTATGGGTGTCCTGACTGGAGCATTGGATGGTCCTGGTACCTGGTTCTTCAAAGTGACCGAACTTGATCTCTCTCTTGGGCCTGTGAAAGGTCACTTTAGGGACTCCAGGGTCACATTGAAGAAGCTGCTAGTCTTAGAGGATATTAGAGGATTTCAAGAATACTCCTCCCCAATCATCGCTGAGGAAAAGAACAAACAATCCTGGGAGGAAAGCATTCATTCATCAACAATCCGACATCTACTCTTCCATACTCTTCACCTAGACCTAGGGATCCAGTCGTACCTCCTCAGAAGGTATTTGAACCCTCCAAACCTAGCCCAGTCCCACCTTCTCAGAAGGTACTTGGATCCCTAGGGTTCTGCCATCGTCCTCCTTCATCCCACCCAGTACCACGTCTCGTGCGCCTGGGCGACGCCTCCACGGCACCACTGACCACCGGCTCCTGCTGCGCCTGGCCGAGCTCACGAAGAGAGCGAAGCGAAGTGTCCCAGCTCATTCCAGCTTTGGAGTGGGAGTGTTCCCCCCCCTCAGCCTCAAGGTCCCACCTCCACGGTACCTTCATGGGGATCAGGTGAGGCATTGGTGTGGGATCCGGCCAGTCTGTACTCAGAAGGAGTGAAGGGCCAGAACCTCGGCGGGGTGTGGCCGAAATGGGTGTGGCAGTTGCTTCTCGTTGGCGCATTTGACTGGCCCAAAGAACAACGTAGACCGTGCCCTGTAGGGCGCTTTTACAAGCACAATGGTCTTGCATCAAGAGAAGGGAGTACTGGAGTACTCAATAAGCTTTGTTGGTTGACAATCTATCTGGTGGTTTCAAGTCACTTGAAAACCATCAGTCAGTGGGGTCAATCATCATCTAAAGGTTGAACATAATGTACCGCATTGACTTTCGTCCGGGCCGCCTGCTGCCATTTCCAGCAAGATCTGATATGTTAATAATGTATATTATGTGCTTTGTTTAACACATGTCTTTAAGTAAAACATAACACATCATTAACAAAGGAACATGTGTTTGTTTCGTTTGTTTCATATAAAAACATATAAAACGATGCTTTTCTCAAATGTCTTTGATTGTTGAAGGTTTTTCCTTCCACATCATCCTGCTTGGGGCCATCCCAAGTGTGGCCTTGGTCGAATTGAAGAATGACTATTTGGCTCACTTGGATCGGGTCTCGTTGATCAGCTGGTTGGCCCATTGCTCTTTTGGAATTGAAGCAGTGCACAAGAATTACTTATGCTAAGGCCATAAATATGGCCATTTGCATTTGATCATTGGCCTTGCCCAAACACTCCAGGGGACTGGAAATTGCAAAATGCCTATACTTATACATATTGACCCACTTTCAACCATCCCCATGGATGCAACTATGGCAGTCTCAGACAGGTCGTATCTGGATTGGGGAGAGAGGTGTGGGGAGTCGCCACCGCCCCACCTTGCCCTCGTGACGTTCCGTCATCGCCTCGTCGTTCCTGCCCTTCACCGGAGAGCTCACCGCCTGCGGAAGGAGGAGAGCTGGGCGCTGAGTCGGAGCTGCACAGGCGGATGGATTCGGAAGTTCCTGTTCCAACAGCCAAAGCAGCAAAATCGGGCTTCGGTCGTCGCGCGCAACTCCATCGGTGCTTCCGAGCTGACTCCCGACGCTGGAGATCGATCCCTGAATTTCCACATGTCCACCTGCTCTCGTTGTGTGGGGAAACCCACCAATCCCCCCAATTTGAGGTGACCTGCAGGTGATTCACAAGCTTCTTGGGTAAGAGAGACAGGTCACCGCGCACCTCCAGCTTGGGTTTCCTTTCTTCTGCAAATGAAGCTGCAGCCCCTGAGTCGCGAGGGCATGGTCGATGAGGCAAATACCCCTTAGGCTCTGAACAATGACATGCTTTGTAAGAAGGTGCTCTGGGGTTTTGCTTTTTCAGGGTCAAACGGAGCCGAACTGTCTAACCCTCAGAATAACCCTTAGCCCTAACCCAGGGGACTGGAAGAGTTACATATACAAGTACAATTAGGGTCCTAATGAGGTAAATATATGATACAAATTGATACAACTATAGTTCAGTCCCATGGATGGTCTGGATAACTGCCTTCAAACAAAGTTCTTAGAGCCGTTATAGGGACTGATGCAGACTTGCCCCAGATCTGCCCCAGATCTGCGGCACCGGCCTAGCCCTGCTTCACAACAGCGGTGTCTCTCGGATCAGGGGGCCCAGGCAAAACCAGATTCCCGTCCTTGCCACTAGGAGTAATGGCCTCCAACCTACTAGCTTCTTGCTATAGTAGCGATGGCCTCCAACCTACTTGCGATGGCTTCCACCTAATAGCATCCTTGCTATTGCAATCTTGTTGGTGAAATGGATGCATAATGATGCATAAACAAACCCTACATCCACTATCATCCTCTTACGATCACAAACTTCTGTTGTGACCTCCAAACTGGACCTTTCACATGCTCTCCACCAAAACCCATCACATCCCCTTACGAAGATCTATACACCCATCACATCCCCAATTAGCTCTACATGTCTTCTACCCCTCCAAAAGCGGACAACCAAGGCACTAACCGTCCTTCTTCCCACCACCTCGGACGGACCGGACCTTCATCCGGAGTGCTGGGCTCAAACCTATCCCCAGCTTTGGAATCGGTCGGAGAACTTGGCGTGTGAAACACGAAGCGTCTCTGGGTAAATCAGCCATCCCAGTCCAACCCATCCCACCCCCCCATCCCCTGCCATCCCTCCGCTCTGAGTCTCCCGAGCTCACGTGCCGCAGGGCATGCGGAGCCTTAGCACCTGAGCGCAGCGTGAAAAGCCGGATCACGGGAAACGGAGGAGTTAGTAGCAGCAGTGGCCCAGTCGTGCCTTATTGAAATTCGAACATATAAATACAAGTTGCATTTGGGAAACATACCAGGACCCACAGTTGAGGTGGTGAGTTAAACACCCCTCAGAGGGCTTGGTGGGTTCGAACCTCCTTCTGGAGATGCTCCAAGGGAGAAGAAGCATCTGCAAAGATCAGGTTTGCTCTTTTGGTCCTGAAATTAATAGAACCGTTTTCCAATACATTGGAGATCTACTTTTCTATCTATTTGGAGGTCTATATGGAAACTATAATACGGAAACCGAGCTGCTCATGCTAATAAATGATTGTTAGAACATATCTCGTTTCTGATGGGTTCTCTGGCGAGTTTCTAAGTTGCTTGAAAGTAGAAAGCAACGATTCTGCTACACAATGTGTCCACGAAAACCAAAAAGTTGGGAAAAAAAACACAGACTCAGCTTAAGCGCAATGCCCACATAAAGACGTTGAAGGAAGAACCTACACGGCCATGGAACTCCATGCCCTTACTGCTTTCTTTCTGTGCTTGTTTCCAGCCTTACACCCATTGAGAGTAGCTGCCACGTGTGAGTAGTCCAGAGCCACCCGGTGCAGGGGGCCCCCGGTGCATGTGGTGCTTTAGCTATCCAGCTTGGGTGGTGTGGGGGCATAGAGAGGTGTTTCGAATCGCCCGGCAGGGCTCGCCGCGACTGGTAAAACAATCCCACATCAGCTGGAGCACTGATCAACGAGGGACCATTGACAAAAGCCCAGCCCCACTGGGAAAATCAACGCGAACTACGTGCCTTGCCGACACCACTTTCCAGAAAGAGGTGGAGCCTGACTGGGTAGGAAAGAACCACAGTAACTGAGTAACTAAAACGACGGACCTCTTTGTTGTCTGATCTTGCGTGCAAATCGATGCTCAGCTTGATTGTGAGCTCAGAACGAAGAGGACGGCATGGTCTTGCCTGAGATGCTGCGCCGTGTCGCACCACATGGTACGAGTGACTGAGGACCACCAAAACACCACTATAGTAAGAACTGTGTCTGGCTATTGGCCAGTGCTTTGGAATGCCTTGGACAAAGCTTCTGAATTAATCCAAACAAGGTCGCATCACAGCATGCCCGGATCTTACCCTAGTTTCTGTTTGGATTTGTTTTGCAAGGGACTTGCTCCACCACCACTCTTCCCATCTAAAATCTAGCCTTTGGGCTTCAGCCCTACCTGACACCCACTTCTCCAACATCTAGGGTTGCACCATTCCCCCGACCCGTCGCATCGCATCACCACCTCTTCGAGGTCACTTGGATGCATGCCCATGCCAGCTCAAGCCACCGACTGGGGCACTCCTTCACGCCCCCCCGGCGGGTTTCGCCGGCGAAAGCCGTCGACGTCCATGGCCCTTTCATTGATCGGTCGATCGATTCCCGGAACCCGTCGGATCACCAGTGAACCTGCAGGCGCTGAAGCACACGTGCTTCGTCACGTGCTTCGGCATCACGGCACATGGAAGAACAGTGGAATCTCCTCAACTTTGGGGGACAGATTCGTTCTGCCTTCACCATCTTCCCATCATGAAACCACAAAGATCGGTTTCAGTAGCACCAGGCCGGTGATGACCATGCTTCATGAGGGTACAACCTCTTTAGGCCTTGACATATATGGTGACATCAACCTGTCTACCAGCACCCGAAACCTGCCAGGTCACTTAAGTCTCCATTTCAGTCATTTTGAGCAGGCCACTACCTGTCTACATCTCCCTTGTCCCTCAGAACAACACCCCTCTGACCTACAGTTCCCTACAGATCCAGTCTGACCTATCGGTCCGATCAGGACAAGTCGTGTCTTTCGATGAAGGGCCTGGTTTCTGATATATGCTTTCATTCATCAAGATCGAGTCTACACTCACCCGCTCATTCACCCCTCCCCCCCTGGGTCCCTGAAATACTTGGAACCTGTTGGAACATGCCTTCACCCTTCGTCCAGGCGTCTTCTGGCACTGCGCCACCGGCGGCATCGCCGCCCCCGGCGTCACCGGGAAGTCGCTCGGCCGCGCCGCCGCGGGCGAGCAGCGGGCGCCCGTGTAGCGCGCGGAGCCTGGGGGGGACGGAGCCTGAGCATAGCATAGCAGTGTCGTTTTTATAGGTGTGTTTTGTTCCTTAAGCGACAGTTTGAGGTGGCGAAACCAAAGCATAGGGAAAAAACACACCGATATAGACCACTGTTCTTATATATTCATGTGGGAAGCATATGGCTGTTTATATGGATGTGTGTTCATGTTTTTTCTTTGAACCACTGTTGTGTTTGTTTCCTTTGACCACGACTTGTTGGAACTGCCACTGAAATCTGCAAGATCTTCTAAGTAAGCCCCTTAAGCCATACCCAAACGCTCCATGGGACTGCCATATATGCCGCCCCATTGATCCCTCAAACCACCACCCCAACTGATCGGCATATTTGGCAGTCCCATGGAGTGTATGGGATATAGTATTTTGCCCGATGTTCCACGCAGGTTTTGGAACACGGACCACAGTCATTTGGTTTCCCACGGTCAATTGAACTCAGTGCTTGGCTCAGCTGAAGTGGTTCCTAAACAGCCAGGTGACTGGAGCCGTTCTTCACTGTGCTGGGTGCCGTTCTTCACGTGCGTTCAATCCCTATTAACCAGGGCCCAGTGGATGATGAAGGTGAGTAAAATGGCCCTTCTCAAGCAAAAAGGAATAAAAAGGATACTTACTTGATACCGACTGACTTACAGGTTGACTGGGACAGACCCAACCTATCCCAACAGATCTGTTGACTTGGAACCGGTGAAAAACGTGCGCCAGCCACTCTTAACTTCCAGTCACATGCTACGGCTTTAGACCACTTCCGTGCCACCCCCACTCGAGGTGGACATGCTCATCTCGACAAGCTGCGGCAAGGCAAATGCGTCACATCGAAGAGTTTGGCTCCATTGGCCAATTCCTCGGCACTGAACTTCAAAAGGCGGGGAAAAAGCTAAAATTTCCTATAAGAAGAACATTCACCCATAATCATTATATAGGGAACATAGAATTTAAAAACATACAATAAACTTAAGGACCAACCCACGTGAAAGACGGTGCACACAATACGTACCGGCAGCGCCCCATTTGTTCCAACAACCAAACCTGACTCGGCACCCTTGTCTTCCCTTGGACCATGACATATCAAAGGTTGACTCAGGTTGACCTGCTGGAAACTTTGTGGTGTCTAATCCTTTGAAAACATATGTTGTTGGGCAAAAGCTTGTAAACATCATGAAATCGAATGGTGGGCCATGAAGCCCAAGACCTACAGAATCACTCAGAGTTAGGAGGCAACTTCCCCAGCCCACCCCCTTTGACCTGCACATCAGGACCTCGTTTTTGGATCCTTCACGAAATGCCCCAAGTCGCGTTTGCGAAAAAAGATGCGTTTGCCCAAGTCGCCCATCGTTGCTGGCCGTTGCTGTCCTGGATAACGTGCCGATTCGGAAGCCGGGAAGATACAAATCCACGGAAGCAACACCAGGTATGGGTGTGTATGTCCCTATCGGAATCCCCGCAGAGACATTGAAATGGTTTTCAGGTCTGGAATTTCTGCGAACCAAGGTTGACTGAGAGGCTCCTGGACAATATTACACACTCAAAGGTCAAATACATTCAATACCAAAGGAAAACAAGCCGGAGATCGAGAGTTAGGGTTGGGTGGGGTCCTGTTTGGTTTTGATTTGGGCTACTTCGGTTTGTCTGCCGCAGGGGGAAAGAACATAATTACACCTTGTGCTTATGACTTCTCCTGTTCTTATCTACTTGTTCAGCTTGGACATAAACAAACTTCATTCCATGCAGTATGGGTTGGCAAAAAAGGAACTTTCAACATGTCGTGTATGGTCGTGTGTTTGCTCTTCCGGTTCGTTGTCTCCCAGGGTACAACTAGTCCGGTCGGCCAAGCGCAGGGACTTCGTTCCCGCTCCTTGGGGTAGATCGTCAAGGTCGTTGTCACCTGGCCGACTCAACGTCTCATTTGGGTCGTCTCAAGTCACGGTGTTGCGCAAGCCAGGTGTGAGCGGTGTTGCGCAAGGTGTGGAGAGATTGGCCCGACCCTGGATGTTCTACTGGAAAGTTCTGATTGTTTAAGTGTATTTAAAGAAGAAGAAAAGACATCTAAAAATGATTGTGCACGTCCAGAATCTTGAGCAATGAACGTAACTAACAAAAAGTTCCGACCCATCCGCTTCCCAGAAAGAGAATCAAATGCGTGAAGCAAACGTACACATGTGTTCTAGAAGAAAGAACCAAAAGAAAGCAACCACAGAAAACAATGATTCTGGCAGTCTATATGACTTCTTTGCTTAAGTGTCGTCATGGGAAACACGTCCACGGCCTCACGGTCGCCCGTGACCTCATACTTTCCTTGGCCGATCGATCGATTCGAGCATCCAAACTCAAGACCAACCACCGACGAACTGTCAAAACACAAAGCACTGCACGGCAACCCCGAAACAAAACCGGAAATCCGCCCAGCGGCCGGGAGGCAGGGCTTCGGGTTGCTCCATGATGAGACCATGCTCCTCTAGCCACCAGTCTGCCTGGCAGTCCCAGCAGTGTCAACTCACGCGAGTTTACGGATTCAGAATCAATGTTTGCAGAAAAAACGCTGAACTGGTTGCTGTTGGGCCTTCCAGGGTGTTGTCCACAGGCCAGCTGGGGTGTGCGGCCAGGCTATTGGGGATCTAAATGTCTGCTCTGTTGGTCTGCTGCGGGCACCAAGTCTTGCCCAAAGAGCTTAAAGGTCAAATATTGTGTTGAAGGCATCATTTGTTGTGAGCAGTGGCTTGCTTAACCACTCTGAGGCAATCATTGCTCAAAACTAGGTTCGGGAGAATCTGAGAATCTGGAACTATTCAAAACAAACTGGATTTTGCCTAAACCAGGGAGGCCTTGGCCAGTTCTCAAGCCAAGAAAGCGCGGGAGCCTTGGCATTTATGAATGATATGTGCGTGTGTGCATGTGTAGACCTTTCATTTGTGCAAAGGGTTGCCCCTCAAACTTGCCATGGGAGGTATGGGCACAAAGCAGCGGCTAGTACATATATGTTCTAATGGGCATGTTTGCAAATGAACATTGAAATTACACTGATATGATATGTGAGCTGTCAGTGAAACAGCGGGTCGCAGTCCTCCAATGGGCAACAATAACACATCAAAATAACCTCCTCCACCCACTGGATGAGAACACACGGCCTGATCAAAGCTCCAGCCGGCAGGGGCCTCGCCCGTCTCTGCCAGGCGCCTTGCAGGGGCGTCTGATTCCACAGCTTCGTTTTTGAACACCTGCTGTGAAACACTTCTTCAAGCCTTCGAGCAGCCCACCAACGATGTTCAGCGAATCCATGACATGACACCGCGAGCGAGGCCCGTTCTGGAAAAGAACGTCTGTTCAGCGACCGGATTCCAACTGGTGGATTGGAGTGGGCATGTTCTGCGGTGTTCCCAAAACAGGTTTCGCCGATGATCCCAGCACTTGCTTGGATTTGTCCAGGAACCGGGAAGAAATAAAGAAGTGAGAAAAACATATCTATAGAAGGGGATTTAACATGATTTAATCATAGGGAACATCTTGAAAAATCACCTGAAGCAACACCAGGACTTTCTTGGGTGATAGGTAGACGACCTTGAGTGGGGTGTTTGGCTCTGACAGTTTCCGTTGACCATCTCCCAGACCCATGCCCGGTCAGAGTCTAACCTCAGTACTCGACGTAACCCAACAACTCAAAAATCTGGTGCACTGGCACTAATTTGAAGTAAACATTAGTAAAAAAGAAGAACACACTTGATGCCAAACGCACTGCAACATCTCCAAACGGATGTCACCCCTAAACCTCATGGCTCAGCAAAAAGGAATCACCGACTCTCGGCCCCGGAGCCCCTTTCTGCCCAGCTTCGGGAAGTTCTTCAGCCGCACCTCAGCCCGGTCGCTGGCGACTCAGTGGGCATTTCTGCGGCAAACACCTCTGGAAGATCCAAACATCGTCTCTGTTCCAAAGATCCTTCACACGGTCCTTAAGGCGCTCCAGGTAGTCCACCGCCGCGGGATCGGCCCATCCACCCGTTGGTTCGGGGTGGTTCGGACCCGTTTCGAAGGGGGTTTGCAAAGGCGAAAGTGTCTGTGTGAAACGGTCGGCGGTCAGGTTGAAGCGGTCTGAATGAGCACTGCAGCTGTAGAGAGAGAGGTGGTCAAGAAGATGGGCATGCTTGGAACCTCAATCTCGTGTTCATAGGCCCTGGCCGTAGCCCCAATCAAAACCAAACAGAACTCCAAAAACGTGCGTGGTCAGGGGAAAACTCATGCTCTTCACATGGCCACCTAACTGGTCATGCAGCACAAAAAAGAGTCCCTGAATACTCCATTGAATTGCAAAGACAAACAGGAAACACACTTTAAGTTATACTAGATTATAGTAATTAGATTATATGTGATTAATTAAAACAAACAAACACTTGAACTTATCAAACACAAGTTGCTATCACCTCCAAGTTCCCAGCTCCTGGACCCCCTCCTTCTCTTCTCCGCCGAGCTTCCCCCCGTGGCCCAGGGTCCTTCGTCCAAAGTCCCCAGGTCTCAGCACCTGGCGCCGGTAACGCCGGTCAGGTAGTGGAACCAGGTCGCAGGATGTGTTCTTGTTGGTTGTCTAATGTCTATATATAGGCTGTCCGTAGGTTGTCTATTTAGGATTTGGAACCCATATATATATATTAAACAGGAAACACCTGGTAAAGCCTACTTGGTGCTGCCATGCCAAACTGATGTTGCTCACCAAGAATCTGACGCTCCTGAAAATGACACACGCCTCGCTTCAAAACCGGGAAATTCCCTTGAGAGGAGCTGGCACCTAGCTGCTAACTACCTCTGGAACAAATGGGAACTACAACAACAGCCAAAACTGGAAAACAAACACACCAAACACCTCTCGTTGTGGTTCCCACATGCATCCCCCATGCGGGTCCGGGTCACCCCAATTTGGCCTGTTCCGCTGCTAGCATTGGGATCCCCATTGGCTGCGATGTACTGCCTCAGCGACCGTGGCTATCAGCGAAAGCGGCGTGCTGCGTGCTGCAACGAAACCGCACAGGTTCTGTCAGAAGGTGTGTGTTGACAGTGGATTTACAGGCTCAGCCTAACTTAGCTCCAGCTTGGGACCTCAGGTACAGTCCAAGTTCAAGCTTGGAGGTCTGATCTCGAAATGCGAAGCCTTGGTGGACCCTGGTGGACCCTGGTGGACACCATCTCAGGTCCAGTGCTTTTTTCCGATTCAGGAGTGACTGCCCAACTCTTCACGTCTGTGGGGGTTCTGATTCGGACGGGCCAGAAACCATCAAATCTCTCCACTCACACGCCTGGCGGACGGTCCATCACGCGCTTTGCGGCCTACCCCGAGGTGAGTAAGTGAGAATGATGGTAAGTAGGCCCAGTACATACAACATGTCACCATACTCAAAAGTGGATTCACTCATAGGGACCCTATAAATCACCGCAAAAAGAGTTGCTTTAGCCTACACAAGGCTGTTTGGATGTTGCTGGTCTATCAAGGCCTGTTGTTTTCTAGTTGCTTTTCCAGCTCTGCACTTGAAGCCAAAAAACATACCCTGTCCCAAGGATCCCTTGGTAGCCGTGATCACAAGAGATGGGACAAACACTGACACCATGTGCTGACAACTTCTCAATGGCATTCTATATGATACCGTATCCCTCATCCCATGCCAACCGGACCAGTCCCTTTGGATCTTATGAATCTATTCTCCCTGATGTTTCGTCGTTTTCTGGCCGAGTCTTCAAAAGCTCACAACTAGCTGCCAAGTCGGATTGGAACAAAAGATTCCTCTGTGCATCGAGTTGTTTTCTTGAACCCCCACTCCATGAATGAAAGATCCGAACTTGCCCATTGAACCCTTCAAATCAACCACCCAACTCATCCGCAGTGATTGCCAGTCCCAGTCCCGGGTCGTGTCTGTGATTGGTCCTTCAATAGTCTCAACCTGCCTCGCCTCCCTTGTGCCCCTGCTGGGTTGTATCCTTGCTGGCATCACTCCTCCATTGGGTTTGAGGTCTTAAACGCCAAATCCCAGTGGCTTGGGCAAGCGCGAGAAGAGGTACACGAACCAGACACCTGGCCACCCATGGCAAAGTATTGGCGGTATGGCGTGTGGCGATGCCCAGTGTAACCGAGGTGGGCGACAAGTTGGAGAAAAGAAACTATATTAGTTCACATTTGACAAACAAAAGGAGTTCAAATTGGCTTCAAGCATGTGCGTTCGCACATAAAACTTGAGTTCAGACCTGAAGATCACCCAAGAAACCTGCTTGCTTCAAAGGTTTCAAAGGTTGAGAGGATCTGAGGATGAGGACTGCCTTCAGGCTGCTTGCAACAGCTGTGATTCTGTATCGGATTCTTCCAAGTTCTCTCAACCTGAGAAAGCCTTTTGTCCCGACTTTTGGCCCTATACACTCTAAGGGACTGGAAGATATGCCTGTCCACCCCTGTTCAACCACCCCCTATAGGTAAACATGGCATAAATCTTATGGCATAACTTACATGGCATACATGGAGCGTCTAGCACTGTGAAGCCCAGCATTGCTGCTTGGCATTGCTGCGATCTGCACTCCTCAAGTCCAGTGCTCCGGTCCGCCGAACAAGGTCGCCTGGCAGCACCGGCAGAAAGTCCAAAGCCTCCCGGACGTCACCGAATCGTCCGGCCTTCCACCGAATCGTCCAGTGTCGCAGGCGTCGAAATCGATATGACTGGGACGGTTCAATTTGACCCCCCTGGCACCCCAACTGATCGGCATCTATGGCAGTCCCGTGGCGTGTCTGGGATTTGCTGCTGGAACTCCCGCCTTTTTCGCTCCGAGTTCCGGCTCCCTTTCTTTCGGCAATAATATGGATACCCCCGAGAGCAACTTCCCGCCGTCGCCGTCTCCATCCAACCTTCGCACCCAGGCATGGAGCCGGTGACGCTAGTAGAGAACCCAAAAAGTGAGGAATACAGCAAGTTTCTCATCCTCGGCAATGCAGCATATTCCGTCTATTATATCGTTTTTCGCCCTTCTTCCAGAGAAGCGGTCAGCGATACACCTGCGCAGTTGACTCAGTTCTTGCTTGGAGGACATTTAATTGGTGAACAAGCGCCAGAGTGTCCATCTGGAAGCAGGGCCAGGTAGTTCACAAATAACATCCCAGAGTTCCAGAGGTTTCGCCCACATTTTGCCCTACACCTCCTCCATGTGGGAGACCCTTGAAAACAGCGGATCTTCGACCCAGCGTCCTTCATTCGAAGTTCACATGGATCCTGCAGGACTGAGGGACTCGAAGGTGTCACAAGGTGCAGTCTTGCAGTCTACACCATACCTTATAGTCTACAAGACTGTATGTAGATTCTGTAGACTCTTGATTAAGCAACCCCTCCAGACGATTGAAAGGACCCCTCCCAGATAATCAAACCTCCCAGATAATCACTGTGATTTCAGAGATGGCCACGTTCGTTACCCCAAGTTCGGTGGTTTACATGGCTCTCCATCTGTTCAGGACATCCTGGGGATTTCGCCATCTACTCTGAAACCACTGGGAATCCTGCCTGTTGCACCAGGCTCCGTCGCGACTGGCTTTGTCCGTACCGCAGGAGCTTGCTCCGTGCGCGCCCACTGCGCACCCCGCGCAGTAACGCGCGCGAGGGGTGGCGCAAGGACGTGGAGCTGAGTGAGCTTTCCAGGCCCAGCCTGAAGAGGTTTTGGGGGATTCAGATGATCGGTTTGTTCCAAAAATCTAGAATAAGACCGAAGGGAAGTCTCCTCCCTGTCAATTAAACACAATGAGATTTCAACTATACATGGAAATTGAGGAGCAGGAAAGGGGACAAAGACTACCAGAAATGCACTGCACACAACACCCACAAGCGCAGCTCATTGATGCTCATTGTGATCTCTCACTCTTTTGCTTCTTTTGCTGGTGTTTCATGATGTTTCATGAAACTTTCCAGTGGTTCTTCATCCCAAATCCATCCAAATTCAATCAAGGATGTTGATGTTGTCGTTTTAGACCTGCCAGGCGACCCGCTGGGCGTCACAAAGGGGCGGCTGCCCAGGGTCCACCCCAGCGCCAGCAGCGCCAGCAGCGGACATCCGCGCGCCATGGGCGCGAACGGGATGAAAGCTGTGAGGCTCTCAATGATTCTGATGTTTTTTCGATGCCCAGTGGAAGCTGAGGCTTCTTGGAGAACGAAGATTGAACAGGTATGTGTGTGTGTGTGTTGTTCTTTTTTCGGTGGTGTTTTTGACTTTTTGTGTGATCTTGTGGCATGAGGTCTTCCTGTCTGCTGACCGTTTTCACGGCCAAGATTGCAGGTGGGTGAAATATAGATCGTACCAAGAGAGAATTCACCTACCTAACTACCTACCTAGAGCCATTAGAAGCGGGCTCTGAGGTCACTGCCAATAGCTAGTTCTTGGCGAGGCTGCTGGCCCATTGATGGGCGCAGGGTTGAATTCCGTTTGGCCATCTCAGGAACATAAACCTCTGGGCAACCCATGACAAAAGTTCCATATATTCCTGAATATTCGAACGATGCAACACTTCTGCCCTTTGGCAGGTTTTATAAAGATCTAGGTTGCCAACAGGTTCTTCAGAACTCTAGTCTGACCATCCCATATAAGGTACCCCAGGTTACGGGTCCGTTACAGGTCCTCCAAAAAAGGAAGGGTCTCTCTAGACTTCACGTCTCAGCCGTCCAAGGCACCGAGCCGCAAGCGCCGCCCGGCACGCGACTGCGCTGCACTCTGATGTGGCGCCGTGCGCCCACGCCCCACTCGTACGCCCGTGGGCACGGGGCGCGTGGCATGGCTCGCCAGGTGTGGAGGCTTCTTGGTCGTGACCTGCGGGAAGGCGAGAAGGTGTGTTTTCATGTGTTGCAATGAGCAAATCGTCTCAGATGCTTTTGGGTGCAGGAGGTGACTTTTGCTTCAGGATCATGAAGGCTACTGGCTAGACCGGCTGAAGAAGTGCAAAAACGACAATGTGTCCGGGATCATACTGAGGATGAGTCTTCAAGGATCTTAACACCAGTTTGACTCTCCCACAAGGCGTACTTACTGGTGTTTCAAAAGGCAATCCAAAACTGCCTGGCCTACTAGCGTCGTCCTTTGAAACATGAGCATGCTGCAGATTCCACCAACAAGAGCAGAGTGCGTAACAGTGCAATGATCACGCTGTACTATCATGTAGTATCTTCCAACCTATAAGCGCCTATAAGACTTGACATTAACCTTAAGACTCTTCTTAAGACTCCCTGAATTTCATTTCCTTCCCCCCACCACCGCACCTCCGCCACCTCTCGCGCCACCGGCAGCTCCCTTCGCGCCACCGGCTCTCTTCGCACCTGCTCCCTCCGGGCCACCGGCACCACCACCGAGACCGGTGCCGGCGCCCTGCCGGTGGGTGCCGGCGTTTTGGCGACGACGGCGGGGCGCTTGGCGCGCAAGGGCACGTCGGGCGCCCATTGGATGTCAGCACCTGCGGATGTTTCCGAGGGAGTTTGGGGGATAGGTTTCTGGGTGTGAAAAAGGGAGGGAGTGGTGCATGTGAGGAGATTGGAAGGGAGGAGTTCTGTTGAGATGCACTTTTTGTGGAAGTTAAACTTAAAATTCAAACCATCACTGAAGTACCAGTAATTCTACTGAAAATATATATTCTTATAAAATGAACAGTAGATTCAGGTTCCGTGTTTACCATCTTGGTATTCACATGTATTTACAGTGGATCCGTGGAAGAAAAACATTCTGAACACACGTGTTTTTCCGATGTCTTCGCAGCTCCCGGCATGTCAAGGCGGGTCAACATGGCCCTCCTCACTCCACGCGCTGTGCTGTGCTGTGCTAAGGCACTCAAGCGTCCGAGGCTTAAGAGTTCCTCCGCCATGGTGCCTGGGCTCGGTGTCCGGTTCGAATCTGAGGAATTGTTGGTGTGTCCCCAATTCCACCAAACAGGTTGGACCATTATGTCAGTTATCTCCGATCCACCTTTGCTCGGTAGGAGGATGGTGACTGTATACATAGGTACCCATCTTCCGATCTATATAAACCCTAGAAGTCGAACCACCATTGTTTTAATAGCCTTTACCGAACCACCATTGTTTTTTCACTAAGGGTTTTACACTAGAAAACCAGCTCAATCATGTTAAAAATGGTCTTTGACTTCCAGGGTAAAGCTTTTTTGCTTTCGTCTTTCCGTGTTTCTTCGTATTTTCAACGCTCCAAGTGGCGGTAGAAGCTTCCTGCATCCTCCGCCCAGCTAGCGGCCTCCTCGCCCTCCAAGCCACCGTCTGGCTCCCTGAGCAGCGTGATCGGCTCCATGCGTTGCGTGTGGCGCGGTGATGAAGTGATGCAAGTGCTGTTGGATTCCGATCTTCTTGTCATATGCATCTGACATTGTCTTGCTGGAATTCTTAGGATCGGATCTTCTTTGTCTATACCAGTGCGTACAATGGCTTCGGCTTAGCTGGTCGCGGCAATGGTTTGATGATCACGTCATGCCGTGCTTAGCTGTCGTGGGGTTACAGATATAGGTGAAGGGTCTCATTCTATTCTGGACCCTTAACAAACCGAATGACCAGGACCTTCCTTTCAAGTGAACGTCCAAACCACGTCACTTCAGCGGCTGGCAAGTCGGTCCACTTCCAAGTCGGTCACCTCTACCCTGAAGTTCGGTAGTGGAAGGTCCTGGTACTACATTCTTTACTGGCTCTTCCGACTGGTGACAGCTACTGTGGCAGAGTCGTTGGCATAGTCCTTCGCGCATGAGTTGTTTGACTCTTTTGGGCTCCGGTGACCTAACGTTTATAACTACAAGAGATCCTCGGCTCTTCATGGTCGCATGTCCCATTTCCCCGCAGCCAAGCCATGAAACTGCTGCGCGCACACGGCGTCACCGCGGACGGCAGGGAGGGCCGTAGCGAGGAGTTGAGGAGTTGAGCATTATCATACACAAGGTCTTGCGACTCAAGACCCATCGAAACATGGGGTATAAGGGATTGTCCTTGGTCCATCCTTGGTCCATAGTCCATCTTGTTTACTATCCCAACACACGACCTGGCTGGGACTGGCATATGCAACCACACATTGGAGTGGTTTCAGGGATCAATGTATGGGCAAATATGCCATGCATGGGTGAGAATTGTTTGTGTGGGACAAACACCATGCACCTCATGAGCATTTTCGCTTTCGATCGAGCATTTCGATTCGAGCTGTGTTGTTGAACTTCGCCAACCAAACGGTTTGGCTCAAGCTGAGCAGGTGGAAAAGACCGCTTGCTTTGAACGCCCCAACTCATACCTCCTTAGGTTATGAGCCCAAACCGCTAGGGTTCTAAGTCCACCCACAGCCTTTGAGTGAGAGGTGTGGTTGCTGGCCGCCATGGCCGCTTTGCAGCGCCGACGCAGGCAGAGCTCCCGAGAAGGAGCAGCTGAACCCGCAGAGGCCCCTCGACGTGCACATCGAGAAGAACGAAAGAAGCCAGAGGAAACAGCAGATCAAAAGTTGGACCGGTTGCTCAAGGAGCAAAGGGCAGCTCGGGCCTCGTCACTTCCTGCTGAAGATGATCTTGCTGTTCGACGCTTGGCTATGCACCCTACGGCTGAGGGAGGTGAACCTCAGGGGAGAAGAAGAGAGGGAAGTGTGGCACTTCAACCTGGACATCATGGAGGGCATCACGATGCATCAGCTGGCCAGCTGGCCGGGGCTGGAGGCCTCATGAGCGCCTTGCATGATCCTCGGGCTAACGCCTTGGGTCTGGGCGGATTACAAGAAGCAGCACGCCAGTCGTTCGAGTTGTTGCAACAGGCATTAGGCCACCACATGCCGCCTTCGCCGTCTCCGGGACTTTTAGATCCCCTTCTTCGAGGTTCTGACCTACCTCAAGGACCAGGTTCGGGACTACCTCATCAACCAGGTGGCGGATTCTTTGGTGGGCAAGGTTCTTTGGCTGGAACTCCACATCAACCTGGAGCTCCACACGGTGATCCAAGAATGGGCACGCCTGCAAGCACAAGGCAGGTAGAGCGGGAGGAGGTGAAACCCAGGGTGCTTGAACCATTTCGCACGCCACAGGGCCCCCCTTGCCACTGTGAACCCCTTCTGGACCACTTCAATTCAACAAGCTGCACGAGGGGCTACCAACGGAAGTCCAGGACCTGGGGATGTTGAGAAACTTCGTACCCAGATCCTCAAAGAGGCGGAGGAGAAGTTCGCTCGTGAAGTCAAACGCATAACTGATGGAGCAGGTGGTGGTGATGCATCGTCGTATGCCTCCGTTGCCAGTGGTGGAGTTGATGGTCGTGGAACTGCAACACATCCTGGGCTACCACATGGTGATCCCTCAGGTGCAGGTGGACCTCCCGGGTCAGGACCAGATCCTCCCCCAGGCCTTCATGGTGGACAACCTCATGGGTATGCTCGAACCCCGTTGGCTCCGGTCGTTCCAGAGACCGTCAGGGCTTTGGATCTTCCTGCCCTTCCACTACCTTCATCCGAAGGCGCGGCATTGCAGTTTGGGGATTGGCTGACTGTGGCCTATCCGTTGATGGCAGACTTGTCCTCTACCTCACAGTTTTGGTGGGATGGATGCCTTTCTGCCGCTCGTGAACTATATGAACAGTGGCTGGTGGCCACGCCCTTGGAAAGGTTGCGCCTGCGGCCAAAAGATGTCACTGTGGACCCCTTGTACCAGAGAGTGGAGCAGCGGCGAGTGTCATTGCTGCTGGGCATCCTGCCCGAACAATTGAGAAGAGATGTCATCTCCTCTCGCCACGTCACAACTGTGAGCATCCTGTTCAAGTTGTTTGTAGTGTTTCAACCTGGAGGAGGAGCTGAACGCACAACGCTTCTCAAAAGCCTCACCGAAGTGAAGGTGGGTCACTCCGTCACGGAGCTCCTGGCGACGATGCGGCAATGGCGCCGATGGTTGCAGCGAGCTGAAGAACTTAAGGTCACGCTGCCAGACCCGCTGATCCTCATGAATGTCCTTGGCAAGATCATGGACTCGTTGGCCAAGGTGGGAGGCAGTCAAGTGGCGTACAGAGTCTCAACTGTGCGCCAGGAATTGTTGGTTGATCAACGTCCGGAGATGAACTCCATCAAGGACCTCAGCGAGTACCTGCAGGCGGAGCTGGAAGAGCTGGCTTTGGTTGCTGCAGTCCCCAAGGGTGCCGCCAACACGACGAGCTCGCCCACTACCAATGAAAAGACTCCGGTGGTGAAGGCGATGCAGTCCGGCACTCAAGAAGAAAAACCTCGGTCTCCATGCAAGTTTTGGGGGACCCAACATGGCTGTAAACGAGGAGACACTTGTGGCTATGGGCATAGCTGGGAGGGCTTGGACCGACAGCACAGGTGCTTCCACTGTTCTGGGGAGGGTCACATGGCGAAGGATTGTGTGCACCGTCAACCCAAGAACTTCAAGGATGTGAAAAAGGCAGCTCGCTTGCGAGGAGTTGCGCTCGAGGGCTCAAAAGAAGGCCCGACCAAAGAAAAGGAGGTTGAAGTGGGAAGTCCTGGGTCTACATCGACTTCGAGCCCATCGCCCTTGTCGCCGACGACGGTGTCTGGAGGGGGATTGAAGGATTCGGGAGGTGGTTCTCCAGCCAAGTCAACGCTGGAGGAGAAGCCCAAGAATGACGTCGCCACAGACCTCATCCAAGAAGCTGCAACGCTGCTCAAGACGCTTCGGTCCGTGAAGACGATGCGCATCAAGCAGATCAGTGCTCACCCTCAGGAGTTTGGAACTCAGGGGTTTGCCCTTTTGGACGGTGGGGCCACCCATGCCCTACGTGTTGCTCGACCTGAAGAACGAGCTGAACTTTTTCCAGTTGAAGTGGAGCTGGCACAAGGCTCAACAGTTTTGTATCGCCACCCCAAGCATCGCACCTTGTTGTCCCTGACGGAAGTTGAGCCGATCATTCCTCTGGGCCTCTTGGTTGAGCGCGGCTTCAAGGTGGAATGGCGACGTTCGGGATGCAGCATCCACCACCCGACTTTGGGACCAATCCCCTGTTGGTTGAGGAATGGATGCCCCATCATGCATCGACAGCCTGCGCTGGACATGTTGGCGCAGTTTGAGATGGAGGATCAGGGGGAGGTGGCTCTCTCTGATGAAGATCGAAGTTGGTGGCAGAAGCATTTTCCTGAACTACCACTTCCAGTTCTCCAGCACATGGCTGGTCAAAGTCAAGAATCTACAGCTCCGCCCTGGAATCGAAGGTTGCGACGGGCCCACATGACTGGGAAGGGTGTCATTGTTCACCTTTTCAGTGGAGCTGATGCGAAGAAATGGAATGATGTTGGTGGAGGCCGCTACTCATGGCTGTGCATCGACACTGAGATCAATGCAGCCCTGAACCTCCACAACCCTTCAGTTTGGAGTTACTTGTGGAAGCTGGCATCACTTGGCCGCATTGTTGCCATCATTGGAGGTCCTCCATGCAGAACTGTAAGCCGCCTTCGAAATAAGGCTCCTGGCCCTCGACGATTACGTGGCCGAGGAGAAGATCGTTGGTGCCTTCCTGATTTGGACGATGATGAGCAGCGCTTGGTCCACGGCGACACTGCACTTTGTATGAAGCACATTGGTCTTTGGCTACGTGCTCAAGAATGCCGTCGTGTTCCCACGGATGTTGGAATGTTGCTGGAATCTCCACGTGACCCAGCTGAATACTTGAGTGATCAAGAAGGAGCTCAAAGCGCATCTTTTTGGTGCTTCCCGGAAATCATGGCCTGGGTTGGAACTGCAGGACTTCGTCTGGTCACCTTCGACCAAGGACGGTTGGGTCATCAGCGAAAGAAGCCCACGACGGTCCTCACCAACCTCCCGGCCTTCGAAGAACTACATGGTCTCCAGGGTGAAGGTTGTGATGATAGTCCACTACCCACCAAGCTGGCAGATCGCATTCGCACTTCAAGGTCTTGGGCCGCTTGGGCGCCAGGACTTGTGGCTGCAATCAAGGAATCGCTGCGGAGGTTGCTTGGCGTTTTGGAGGAGGAAGGTCGAAATGGTGACGCCCACAACATGTCCAAAATGGACCTTGCAGCCTGGCACCGACACATCAAACAGGGGCACATTCCCTTTCGTGCTGACTGCCGAATCTGCGGTGAAGCAATGGGCTGTGATAAACCTCACAAAAGACTTGGGGGGAGCGCAACGAAGTTCACTATGTCAGCGGATCTATG